GCTGAAAACATGCACTGGTACTGAAATGGAAATAGTAAAACAGTACTGCTTTACCTCAGGCACACAGTTAGATGCTGCTCCAGGTTAATAATCTCTCTGAAGTGATTTCTGTGCCTCCTAACATGTTGTCCCAACTCTGCCAACAAGAGTTCAGACTGCCCCAATGACATCCTCAAATATGTGCGAAAGCAGTCATAATAAAGCTTCAGCTCTTGGATCAAACCATGAAATTCTCCCATAATTTCCAGTTCGTCCTTTTCTTGTTTAATAATCAGGACCAGCTGATCAGATCATGACTTGATCTGAACTTCATTACGTTCATAGTGTTTTTCGGGGGGTTTTAAGGATGTGTATGCACGCTGTACGCTCATCAACACTGACTTTTGGCTTCACTCGGCCCTCAGAGGTGTTGGCGCTGTTTAACTCACTGTATCGTCGCATCATGTCTTCTGTCTAAGTGGGCTATTACAACTGTTGACAAGTAAATAACATTGCCACCACAAGGCAGCATGCTCCTGGGAAATATTAGGTCTTGAGATTCTTGTAGATATTACTTTGACACCACCAACATCTCTGCAGCCGAAACACATGCTCAATGGCAGTGGCACTCCCCAACAGCATCAGTCTCCCTTCCCAAAAGGGGAAAAATCAGCCTGGTCCATGACGTTCCCACAATACCACCCACAAGACCCACCTTGCAAAGACCTTGAAATGCCAAAAGCTCAGTGTATATCAAATATGTAATTCAGACACATACATTTGAGTCTTGCATCTGTTCTGGCTTAATTAAATATTGACAATGATGCCGTCATTCTGTTTTTTGTTTTGTTTTTTGACCTTTCTCTTGTAACGAGAGACTGTGGGCAGGAAATCTACCTACACTCACACAAACATTACACATTACATTTCACTGCAGCTTCCCGCATTGCTGCCATCCAGCATTTAGGGAACTATTGTGGAGGCCCTTCCGAAAATAGATCAGCCTGCTGTAGCTTCAAAAAGATGAAACGGAAATGAGCAGAAACACCAGTCTCCCCACCACGAGTCAGGTGTGCTGCACACTTCAAAGTCAAAGGGAGTCGTGAATGCGGCACAAATGAAGCCTCCGGTACGCCGATTCAAACTTCCACATCTCGATAATGACCTCACTCTCACACCATTACTCATCATTCATTGAGCTCCGGCTGAGGTGGGAAGGTAGCGCTGGCTGGTGGATTCAAGGCTCGCAGAAGGTGATGGGGGGAGCGCCGCGTGAGTTAAAAGCAATTGGGAGAAATTTGAATACAACTTTAATAATCTCTTTTATTTTCTTGTGACGTATGCCTCTCTTCTCTGTTTGCCTTAAGGAGCTCTTTTCATATTTAACCTAAATATACTGTGATTGCGGCTCGAGACTTCAGTTTGGTGTTACTCTAGCACAGACTTTCAGTCTCAATGCTTCATCTCAGCCTACAAAGATGATAAGCTCCTTTTTAAGATCTAACTATGCATATATAACCATGAATAAATGGGCAAATGTAGTCAAAAGCAAGTTCGTAGCCTGTTTCTATGCACGACTAGCTGTTAGTTTGCAGACCAAAAGCAGGTGGATCATCGAGAATTTTCACATAGCAGGTTTGTGAGTTTTCATTTAGTTTAAGCTATCTGTGAACTCTTCTGGAAACAATCGATATCGATGAGAAAGCTTCTGGTCTGATCTCCTGATGTCAATCAGAAGCACTGCATTAAAAAATGAAAAGAAGACGTTATTTTCCTCACAGATTTAACTGATTTCCATCAGTTAATGGTGGTTTAAAGACTGTGAAGCCGACAATCACAGTTTCCTCAAAGTGTCACAAACTATCCCTTTGTGAACAGTGCAGGGGAGGGGGGACCCAGTAAAAACACCCATGCAGCCACACAGTGGGTAGGTGTTGGTGAACTGTGGGGTTGTGTGGGCAGGGCAACCCTACACTTACCACTGGATATGACCACACAGGCCCCACAGCAGTTTTGCCCTTTGTTGCCCCTATATGGAGTTGATAGTTCTGTTGGCAAGCCCACTCTAAGCTAGCTCTAAGAAAACTCACGTGGACTCTAAATATGCTAGGCCATGTGGTGTCCATAGAAGTTTTGCTTTTCTGGTTCAACGAGAGGGTTTTTTGTTGGGCACTCATGGTTGGTTTGCCAACAGAGAACCCTTATTGGACCCATGCTGGTTATTGTCATGATGGTAGACTTGCCTGTAGAAACCCCATATAGGAAAACCAAAGGGCAAAACTGCTGTGGGCCCTGTGTAGGATAGGTGTGGGTTTGCCTTGCCTACACAGTCTCACAGTTCATCAACACCTACCCACTGTGGGCCCGCACAGGCATGTTTGCTGGTACATCATTTATAATAAGTAAACAACCAATGTGGCTATTATTTAGAAAATGAAACCAAAGAACATTTTTTGGATCAGAAATGAGGCTGAGAGAAGATGACTGGTAAAATACAAAAGCTAAACTGGATCTTGCCTTTTCTAAGACAGACCAACATGATTGATTAGATTTAAACGTTTGTTGCCCCTTTTCTGGATTGAGTGGCTCCATGGTGTGGTGGTTTACACATAAGCCAAAGATCCTCCTGGTTTGAGCCTGGTGCTACCTGCTGTGGTAACCCCTTGTGAATATTTTTATTTTAATAATTATTTATTTTTAGCAACATACTGGTAGATGGTAAATGGACTGGTTCTTATATACTGATTTTATACTCTAATTGCACTTTATGTAACATCCCTCATTCTCCCATTTACACCCACTTCAAGCACTTACGCTTCCTATCCAACAATAAGAACTTGAGGTTGGCCCAAGGATCTTTGGGATGCAGATTGTAGCAGCCAGGATTCAAAGCACCATCCACCTGCTCTGCCTCCTGAGCTACAGCCACCCCATTCTGGTCCCAGGTTTGTTGTAGCGAAGTCTCCTTGAGAAAAGCTTAATTGTTGGTGATGTTAAATTTGCAGCACAACAGCACAGTGGAATCTGTATATCTGTAGAGCTCGATGGATACAGGATTTTTAAGACTGATGCAGATATTTGTTGATTTAAATATTAAAACTAGCGTGCTGTGTGCTTTATTTCACTAACAGTGTATCCAAGAAGTCTGTCTTTCAATTTTGGTGAGTCATCCCTAATGCATGCTTGTAATATTTGGTAACTTCAGCACTTCCCGGTCTCATTCAAATATGTCCAGCTGTCAAATCTGACGCAGAGGCTTCAAATGAGCCACGTCCAGCTTTTATATACAGTATGTTGTTCTTTAACCTTCTGCTACAGAAAACTGAATATCTCTGTTTCAGCTGGTCAGCAAAAGAAGCTATTAGAAGACATTTCAGTGCGCTTTCTTGGTAATTTACTGTGATGTTTAATTTACATAATTCTTGGCTGATTAATTGATAATATAAGTTGCAGTAATTGTTTTTGTTTTGTAAATAAAGACGCAGCTTTTGAAGCTGTTAAGTATTTCCTGTCGCAGCTTAGCTCAGAAAGCGAACCAAAGAACCTCTCCTCTGTGGCTCGTGACCTTTGCTTCACGTCAGGAGGACATCACTGTAAATCTGAGGGAGAGTTACAGTTTTAAAGCCCGGCGATGCTGAAGATACTCGGCTTCAGTACATGAGGACAGAGAGCACTAAGGATTATGTTTCATGATGACACAAGTACATACATCTCAATGGCACCAAATCAAAGAAAGACAGCAAAAACCTTTTAGCATGTCTGCGTGCCACATTATACCACTCCATTATTCAGCACGCTTCCCAAGAACTGGTCTCAGTTCAAGAACTGAATATATCTCCCCTTGTTCTCTTCATTTCTGCTTGACTGTACATCCATTTCATGTGAAGGCTTTAATTTCTTTTCTTTTTAAACCAGCTGTGCATCAAACCAGCTGCACAATGATGTTTGCATGAATGCCACACAAATCATTTGTTGGAATTAAGCGTGTTTTCTCTCCAGAGCCTCTAAATGCTCCAAACAGTGAACAATATGCGTTTCTACAGTGTATGGGGGATTTTTACCTTAATGTCTCAATTTAGATTTTACAACACTACGAATGCGAGTAATCTCGTACGCTTCCTCCGTCTACAAAGCATACAATCTCTTCGAGTTGTGCCGATTCATAAAAACCCTACATTTCAGTCCTTTGAATTACAGGAAATCACATTTCCCTACTCTGCCTGCTCATGTCATTTCCAGCCTTCTCTACATGAATTTTGGCAAATTGGAAAATATTTTTAAGTTACCCAGACCTAGATTGAGCTAACCCAAGCCTTAAAGGAAGAAGACGGAGCTTTTCCCTTTCCAATTTATGTACATATAAAAGTGATATTTCTAAGATACTGAGTGCTCTAAAATTTTATAAATCCCTTTGCAGGCAGCATTGCCAACGCTTCATCCTCCCCTGCAACATTAATGTCATTCAGAAGTAGCCAAGGAAAGTGCTTGTCGTCAGATAACAGTGTTTTTTCTCCTTCTCCCTGAAAAATAGATTTCCATTTACATTTCATTCAAAAGCTCCAACATGTCCAGCCTCTTCTCCAGTCTTCATTTCTGCTTTTATCCTATTTGGTGTAAAAACATCACCAAAACTGTGCGCCAACGCTACCTTTGAATTCCTGTTTCTCCAGGAACTAAATATGGACTGTGTGCACTCTTTCCAATAGCATTCCCAGTAGGATCAGTGCTACGTGACTATGACGCCACTTGACATTAACAGGGACCAACTAACAAATGACCAGACTGAGGCTAATTATCAAGCCTGAATACATCAGCATCAAACAGCTGTTTAACTGCCTTAGAACAACACTGAATGTAGAGCATGATGAGAATGAGAAAGTTGATATTATGAGCTGTAAAAAACATCGGTCCAGACTAGGGCTGGGCGATATATCGAGTTTTTAAATATATCAATATATTTTTATACGAGATATGATATGTGACAATATTGTTAATATTGATATAGTCTATGTTACGTTTATTATAAGTACTAATTATGCTTGTGTTACGCAAGTTTGCCTCTCTTTCATCCACTTTTGTCTCTATGCAAACCTTACTCTGCCTCGCCTCTCCTTCACTGAGCACAACTCCCCCTCGCCCATCGCTTCACCTGCAGACAACGACAAGATGTACACGGCAGCTATCAAAGAGGAGCTGGTCAGTAAAAAGAAAACAGTGTACTGTGCTTCAATGTAATATTACCGTACTGTGTGTGTATAAGGACCACAAATGGCACCTGTAAGAGACGTGGTTACAAAGAGGATTTCAAACTCAGTCACGCAGTAGAAGTCGGGAACAGAGCAGCTGTGAAATCTGTCTTTGTTATTGTGCTCAGCGTCTTTTAGTTTACATTTTGACTGCACAGTTGTGAGCTTTTTGTTATGCCGAAGTACAACATTGTTTTATTTTATTTATGGAACATTATTTTAATAAATGCTGCTAATTTATTTCTGAGTAATTTCTTTATGTGCATCTAAGCTGTATGTTAATAAAAGTGCCTGTGTGAGATTTGGGACACAGCTTTGACTAAGACCTCTCTTTTTGGTCTTACTTTATGGCTTTAAAAATAATATCGAGATATATATCGTATATCTCGATATATATCGAGATATACGATATATATCGAGATATATATCGTATATCGCCATCCAGCTAAAGAATATCGAGATATGATTTTGGGCCATATCGCCCAGCCCTAGTCCAGACCTTCTGAGTTTCTGTTGAAAAAATGAAGTTTAGAAATGGAAAGAAAAGGAACTTTAAGAAATCTGAGATTTCAGTGTCTCAAATCTTGTGGGACATGAAGTTGACCTTCACTGAACAGATATTGCCCAATCATTGCTTAGTAGCCCCATGTTAGTAAGACGTGTTAGGCCTGTAGTTGCGCCTCCCTGAGCCTGGTTCTGCCAGAGGTTTCTTCCTATTAAAAAAGTTTTTTTTTCTTTCCCACTGTTACCAAGTGCTTTCTTTAAATATACAAGAGAAATGAAAACATTCGTTCAGTGACATAAGCATGTGCATATGTGATTGTGTGTGTGTGTGTGTGTGTGTAAGGTCAGAACTGCTTGTTCAACTTCCTACTATCGCTTGTGGGAAGATTCAGATACAAATATCAGAACACGTTTTCATAAAGAACAATCAGTTCTAAGCAAGGAAAAGATCATCATGCAGCATTCTATCACAAATAAACTTATATCATTAAAAGCTTTTGCTGACTAAACAAATACAATTTTCTATTGACAGGGGGTCATCTCTGTATTATTGTGGGGTCTTTGCCTTACAATGTAAAGTGTCTATAGGTCACTGTTATTGTGATTTAGTGCTATACACATGAAATTGCATCTTTAACCACCAGAATATGCATGTAGCAACTGTTCCATTAAGTTATACCTTAACGCATTTTAAACCCTGGACTTTATTAACACAGACATGTCTTAAAAAGTTTCTGTTCCTGTTCAAAACTTCCTGCCACATATTGGGAGCAGCACGTCCCCTGCGTCCCCACTAAAATTTGCACCTGCACAACTGAGTACGTGCCATTGGAGAAAGGAAAACTCGCCAGACATGACAACAGCATCTCAGTCAATTATCACTCAGATTGGGCTTCCTGTAGTCACACCCACAGTTAGCACTTCTCTCTCTTTAAATTCTCTTTTTTATGGGTACTGAGAGTTGATTTGCTTTAAAGCAAAAACTTGCAGACGCTCTGTACTCTTTCTATTTCCCCTTCCCCTCCTTGCATTCAGATGGAGTGTGTGTGCGCGTTGGTGTGTGTGCGTGCGTGTGTGTGTGAGAGAGTCCCGAGTGGCCAACCAGCCAGGCTGCCTGAAACTTCTGACTAGCCATGTTCTTCAAACATCATGCCGCAACCAAAGCATGGCAGGATGACAGATAGTCCCTTCAATATATAGTGACAAACAAATTAGTGCAAAGATGCTTCTCGCTGCATACCAGATGTGTTGGGCTCTGTGGTATGGAACAGCCGATGAAAAACTGTCCACGTCCCATCTGTGCTTTGCCGCGACCATCGGTGCAGCAATTTGTGCTGAACAAAGTAGTGCAAACAGCCAGCCTGATTATATGTGTCATAATGTGAGGCATAAAAACAGTGGCGGGGGAGGATCACACAGGCGCTCGCAGATTTGTACGAGCGCCGGAGAGGACGGGACAGGGTGCAGGTGACTAAACAGGACGCAGAGGGGACAGGTGAGGGAAGAAGGGAAAGCGAAAAGAAGCAGGAAAAACAAATTTATTTTAATCTCCAAACAGATAAATTGTGTTTCATATGAAGTTGCAACCAAAAGTCAGACTCCTTTCAGCTATTTTTCTCCCTCACACCGTCCCTCCGCTCAGAGTTGCTTTTCGGCTCCAGCTGCCGTCCAGGCTTGAGCTGGTGACTGCAGGGGTTTGACACGAGCAGGCCAATTTGTATCTAACCTCACACCTACCTATTGACACCCACACACCCTGAGATTGGAGACCACATGCGGGGGTCACATCACCGTCTTGAGTGCCGTGTCAGTGCAACACGTTTTTGCTCTCTCTCTCTCCCGAGCGCGGCGACAGGCCAGAGTTTGGCTCTGAGTAAACGAACGTGATGAAAGCGGAGAGACAAGGCTTCTCAAGTCGAGCTGGAGAATGCTTTGCATCGGCGCCGACGACAGCGAGCCCGCACGGCTCGCTGACAGAAAGAAGGATAACTGTAGGAGGGAGATGAGCACCAGCACACTGAGAGGCAGAGACATTCCTGACCTGCTTAGTGTCATTACGCCGCAGACTTATCTCGCCTGCTCTGCCTTGTAAATACACTTGAGTGCTTGTTATCAAACGAGCGGGGCGACAAACCTCATCCAGGTTTGAGTCTCCGGCTCTCTCCGCTCGCTCGTAAATGAGTCATTCTCATGGATGACAGCCTACATTAATATTCAGTTATGGAAGGAAGCGAGTGCGCATTAAATCCGACACTTATCAGGTGGCGATCGTGATCCGTGTAGAAGTTTTTAAGCGAAAAAAAAAGATTTGCCTGTTTGCTTTTAATTGCCCAGATGTATTCACAGAACAGACTCTTGACTGCGTGTAGGATTCATTCAGCTTCATGCTGCCCCTGCTCGATCTCAAGGCCACACTGACATTTCAGCTGGAGCCAAGTTCATTTTTAGGATGATTTGTTGCCCGCGTGTTTTATACACTTGGCTGTTTTCATAAAGGCCTTTCCAGCACTCTAAGTTACTATTGTTACGATGTTGCTATTTTAGCGCTAAAAGCTTTTGCAGTCAAACTGAATGGCATCCAAAAGCAGCGTACTTGGTCTTCACAGCGCGCGATCCAAAGTGAAAAATTTATATATTTTTTCTTACATGGAAAACGCACACTTTCACACAGTTCGCATTTGAGAAATGACATTAAAAGGCTTTTATCAGGAGGGTGCTCTCCAGCTGTATCCCTGCACTGAAAGCAAGCACGGCTCTCAGAGGTGAGTGCTTGAGGAGCTGTGAGCGTGAGTGTTAGGCGGTGGCGTGATCATAAGCCTTCCCCCCCACGCCGTACCATTCCACCGTCTGCCGGGTCTCTACGACAATCCGCAGCCGTCACACACTCTGAGCAGGCTCCTGCAATGACACTCGAGCGTGGCGAGTCGCCTCTGAGGAGCAGAGGAGTGTGTTCTGTGTCTCGCTGTCAAAATGGAAGAGCAAATGTAAAAAAATTTAAAAAGTGAGAGAGAAAGAGATAACGGCATCAGATTTTGCCATGTGCCACAATATGATTAAACAGTCCGCTGGAGTTCTTCTCCACAGTGTTGTATTCTGCGCCACCTTAGTTTCAACCTGCCAGGCTGCTCATGAATTTTCAGGTTCAGCCGAATCTTATCTTTTCTTACATGCACAGAAGTGTCGGTCAGCAGGCCCCCACTGTTTAAGTGTTTGCACCCATTAAGAAGCTACATAAGAAGATGGAAGACCAGAAAAGGCACATTTTAGTTTCAGTTCTCTCTGATCAAGCAGAAAAAGGAAAGTACTGCTCTCGTCCTCGTGTTATAAGAAATGTGACAAAAACAGACTGGAGACAATTGTGTTTAGCTTCTGTTAGCTTTCCTCACTGTCTAGATTTCTAAATTATTTTCTCAAGAACTTAACGCAAGCTTTGCAAAGCAAGAGCTGTGACCATGACTGTATGACAGCAAGTCATTAGAGCTAAAACCAAAGAAATGCATGTTGGTACACCAGAAATTAGTAGACTGTGTTTTGTTTTTTTCTGAAATACTCTTACTTACTATAAGATGAGCTAATTGCTAAACATAGCATAAAGGCAGGAGACGTGGTGAAACGACCAACCTGCTAATGCCTCATTTGCTTGTTAAGAATGAGGTTTTTAGCCATTTCTAGGTTCAAATGCTGTTGGCGCCCAAGAGACAAACAAGCTCAGAGGCGCCATTTAAAGCTAAAATCAGCCCAGATTCTTTCAGCTTCATTAAATTGACGAGTGGAGCTAATAGTCAATGTTAAGTTGGGTAACTAGTTGGCAAGGTATCTCATGTTGATGCTGTTAGGACATCATTGTAATTCATTGTTATCATTGTTATTCTCCAAGATCAGCAACTGACCAGTGACATTATCTGAGCATTCAGTTAGCATTAGCCAAGAAGTTAGCCAGTGCTTTTAAAAACTCACTAATAAACCAACATGATAAGCTAAATTGGGCTAACAGCAAACCCAGCTTGATAATATAGTTATTATATTTTACAAGTTAGTAAAGAAAATACATTAACAAGAGTTAATTATCCAAAGAGTCATAACAACATAACTGATTAGCGCCAATGTTGATCCTGGACCAATACGATGCACCAGCTAGCTGATGTTCTAAAAACAAAAGTGTGATATATAACTTTGGATGGAAACAAAGAGTGAAAATACACTCGACAGAGATTAGGAGCACATGACTGGAAAAAGACGCCGAGAATGACAAGAACTCACTCGAGGTAACATCTGAAATGAGCTCGTCCACAACATGGAGGTTAGCCTTTTAATATGAGGCTGTGTGGTTTGGATTACATG